AAAAAAAAAAAAAAAAAAAAAAAAAAAAAAAATACTTGTCTCAGCAATGGGAGATTCTTTTGGGAGAGAATAAGGCAGGAAATGCATACCGTTCTTTTTTATTAATTATAATTTTTATAATTATAATCACATGTTTATAATTTTTATAAATGCTAGATTATAATTCATAATTTTTATAATTAATTTATAATTATAAGGTTTTTTAAACAATGTACATGAAGTTCCTTTTTGTTGTTGGTTTTTGGTTTTGGTTTTTAACTTTTATTTTAGGTTCAGGGGTACATGTGCAGGTTTGTTATATAGGTAAACTTGTGTCACGGGAGTTTGTTGTACAAATTATTTCATCACCCAGGTACTAAGCCTAGTACTCACTAGTTACTTTTCTACTCCTCTCCCTCCTCCCACCCACCACCCTCAAGTGGTTCCCAGTGTCTGTTTTTCCCCTTTGTGTCTGTCAGTTATCATTATTTAGTTCCCACTTCTAAGTGAGAAAATGCAGTACTTGGTTTTCTGTTCCTGCATTGGTTTACCAAGGATAATGGCTTCCAACTCTATCCATGTTCCCGCAAAAGCCATGAGCTCATTCTTTTATATGGCTGCATAGTATTCCATGGTGTATATGTAGCACATTTTCTTTATCCAATCTGTCATTGCTGAGCGTTTAGGTTGATTCCATGTCTTTTCTATTGTAAATAGCGCTGCAGTGAATATTTGTATGCATGTGTCTTTATGGTAAAATGATTTATTTTCCCCTGGGTATATACCAGTAATGGGCAGTAATGGGATTGTTGGATTGAATGGAAGTTTTCATTTTAGCTCTTTGAGGAATCACTACACTGCTTTCCATAATGGTTAAACTAATTTACACTCCCACCAAGAGTGTATAAGTGTTCCCTTTTCTCCACAACCTTACCAGCAACTGTTATTTTTGTAATAGTAGCCATTCTGACTGGTATAAAATGGTATCTAATTGTGGCTTTGGTTTGCATTTCTCTAATGATCAGTGATATTGATTTTTTTTCATATGCTTGTTGGCCACATGTATGTCTTCTTTTGAGAAGTGTCTGTGCATGTCCTTTGCCCACTTTTCAATGGGGTTGTTTGTTTTTTCTTGTAAATTGGTTTAAGTTTCTTATACATACTGCATATTAGACCTTTGCCAGATGCATAGTTTGCAAATATTTAATCCCATAATATAGGTGCCTGTTTACTCTGTTGATAATTTTTCTTGCTGTACAGAAGGTCTTCCTTTAATTTAATTAGATGCCATTTGTCAATTTTTGCTTTTGTTGCAGTTGCTTTCAGGGTTTTCATCATGAAATCTTTGCCCATTCCTACGTGTAAAACGGTATTGCCTAGGTTGTCTCCCAGAGTTTTTATAGTTTTTGGTTTTGCATGTAAGTCTTTAATCCATCTTGAGTTGATTTTTGTATACAGTATAAGGAAGGGGTCCAGCTTTAATCTTCTGCATATGGCTTGCCGGTTATCCCAGCACCATTTATTGAATAGGGAGTCCTTTCCCCATTGCTTGTTTTCGTCAGCTTTCTCAAAAATCAGATGCTTTTAGGTGTGTGGCCTTACTTCTGGGCTCACTATTCTGTTCCATTGGTCTATGTGTCTGTTTCTGTACCACCACCATGCTGTTGTGTTTACTGTAGTCCCTCAGTACAGCTTGAAGTTAGGTAATGTGGTACCTCCAGCTTTGTTGTTTTTGCTTAGGATTGCCTTGGCTGTTGGAGCTCTTTTTTGCTTCCATATGAATTTTAAAATAGTTCTTTCTAGTCCTGTGAAGAATGACATTGGTAGTTTGATAGGAATATTAATGAACCTTTAAATTGTTTTTGGCAGAATGACTATTTTAATGACATTGTTTTCTCCCTATTCCTGAGCATGAGATGTTTTTCCACTTGTTTGTGTCATCTCTGATTTCTTTGAGCAGTGTTTTGTAATTCTTACTGTAGGGATCTTTCACCTCCCTTGTTAGCTGTATTCCTAGGTTTTATTCTTTTTGTGGCAATTGTGAATGAGATTGTGAATGATTTGGCTCTCAGCTTGAGTGTTGTTAGTGTATAGGAATGCTGGTAATTTTTTATGTTGATTTTGTATCCTGAGACATTGCTGAAGTTATTTATCAGCTGAAGGAGCTTTTGGGCCAAGACTATGGATTTTTCTAGATATAGGATCATGTCATTTGCCCACAGGGATGGTTTGACCTTCTCTCTTCCCATTTGGATGCTTTTATTTCTTTCTCTTGGCGATTACTCTAGCCGAGACTTCCAGTAACACGTTTAGGAATAGGAGTGGTGAGAGATGGCATCCTTGTCTTGTGCCGGTTCTCAAGGGGAATGCTTCCAGCTTTTGTCCATTCAGTATGATGTTGGCTGTGGGTTTATCATACATGGCTCTTATTTTGAAGTATGTCCTTTCAGTACCTAGTTTATTGAGAGTTTTTAACATGAAGAGATCTTGAATTTTATTGAAAGCCTTTCCTGCATCTATTAAGATAATCATGTGGTTTTTGTTTATAGTTATGTTTATGTGATGAATGACATTTTATTGATTTGCATATGTTAAACCAAACTTACATCCCAGGGATGAAGTCTACTTGATCATGGTGGATTAGGTTTTTGATGGGCTGTTAGATTCAGTTTGCAAGTACTTTGTTGAGGATTTTTGCATTAATGTTTGTCAAGGATATTGACCTAAAGTTTTGTTGTTGCCAGGTTTTGGTATCAGGATGATGCTGACCTCATAGAATGAGCTGGGGAGGAGTCGCTCCTCCTCAATTTTTTGGGAATTGTTTCCGTAGGAATGCCACAAGCTCTTCTTTATACATCTGATAGAATTCAGCTGTGGATCCTTCTTGTCCTGTGCTTTATTTGGTTGGTAAGCTATTTACTACTAATTTCATTTCAGAGCTCATTATTAGTCTGTTCAGGGAATCAGTTTCTTCCTGCTTCAATCTTGGGAGGGTGTATGTGTTTAGGAATTTATCCATATCTTCTAGGTTTTCAAGTTTGTATGCATAGAGGCGTTCATAGTAGTCACTGATGGTTATTTTTATTTCTGTGGGGTCAGTGGTAACATCCCCATTGTCATTTCTAACTGTAAATGTCTCATAAAAACATCTACATTAAATGTTAAAACACCTCAATGTAAAAGGTAGACCAGAATCTCAGAAAAACCTATATTCTGGATGGAAAAGCACTTCCTTAGAAAACTACAAAAGCAGAATTGTAAAGGGGCAATGGATTCGAGCATATCAAAATTAAAGATCACTGTGGAAGGAAAGACAACCATGAAAAAAGTTAACAGGCAGATGACAATCTGGGAAAGGATATTCACACAATTTTTATTCAACAGAGTTGTCCAAGGAATTCAACAGGAGAGCAGGTATTTGCTCTTTATCAATCAACTTTGAGCCTGGAAAAGGCACGCTGGCCCCTGGTCATAGTTCCACTTGTGACATCATGGCCATCTCTTTTTCCACCCTTCCTGCCCCTGCCAAGTTCAGGGAGCAGCAACCAGAGGGAGATGATCACCTGAACCACTGCTCCAAAACCATGGGCAGTCAATGCTGTGTAAGACTCAGGCACATACACTCCCCCAGGGGTGGGGAGTTGTCCCACAGCCCAGGGAAGCACTAGGCCACTTCTTAGGACCCAGGCAAAGAATGGGGAACTGGGGCTGTGGGGACTTTGCAGCCAGGCTGGCCCTCACCCATGCTCCCCTACACCCACATTCTGATTACAGAAATGTGGTCCAGATGAAGATGCACTAGAGAGAGAGAGGCGGCGGAAGGTAGGTGGGGCCCAGGAGGGTGAGAGAATCGCAGATCATTGACTCTTTGACCCCAGAGGTCTTAGAAATGGAGCTCCATCTCTGGTTCCACAGGGGCTGGCTCAGCATTGCCCTCTTATCCCCTCAAGCCCTGCCTCTCCTGGGTGAATTGAGTAAGGTATGGAGACAGACGGTAGAGAGAGGAGGAAGCAGTGTGTGCACAGCCACCTGGTGGGTGGGGCTCAGCACAGGAAGTGGAAAGGCCCAGGAGGATGAGGAGGGTCTGAGACATGGTAGTGAAAGTCCGCAGAAGTGAGGTGAGGGGAAACCCCAAAGGGCTGCAGCACCACGCAAGACGTCAGGAGGCAGCATCGCGGGCTGGAGTTTGGATCAGGACACAGGCCATAAATGCAGAGGTTCACTGATTCTCATAAAGATCCTTCAGTTCCTCACACCCTGGTCTTCTGGACCAGAAAGTGTCTCCCCTAGACCTATGAACCCAAGAGGTCCACAGATCAAACATATCCCAGTTTCATAGATGAGGGCACTGCAACCCTGAGAGTGGGCAGATGTGCCCAGAGCCATGGACAGGACAGAAGTAGAGGACAAACCCCACCCAGGTCCTCAGAACCTGGGTCCTCAGAACCAGCAGGGGGAGGGCTGATTCTTAGAGAACAACCTGTGTTTGATGTTGACAAATTCACTGGGAGTCCTTTGCTTTGCTTGGCTAGTTGCTTCTTGCACAACTGCGTCACAGAAAAAGGGTGAAGGCGGCTGGGCAGATCCAGGCCTGGTGGCGTGGGGTCCTGGTGCGCCGGACCCTGCTGGTCGCTGCCCTCAGGGCCTGGATGATTCAGTGCTGGTGGAGGACGTTGGTGCAGAGGCGGATCCGTCAGCGGCGGCAGGCCCTGCTGAGAGCCTATGTCATCCAGGAGCAGGCGGCGGTCAAGCTCCAGGCCTGCATCCGCATGTGGCAGTGCCGGCAACATTACTGCCAAATGTGCAACGCTCTCTGCCTGTTCCAGGTTCCCGAGAGGAGCCTTGCCTTCCAGACTGATGACTTTTTACAGGTCCAATGTGCAGTCCCTTCAAAGCAACCAGAGTTCCACATTGAAATCCTATCAATCTGAAAGGCCTGGGGCGTGGAGAACAGGCTCCACTGCGCCAATAAATGTCTGACCAGGTCGTGTGAGTCTCAGTGATTCCCCTCACCACAGGGACCCTGGGATTCGTGCCCGCTCTTTCTCTCCTTCTCTAACTGGGGAAAGACTTCAGTACGAGCACCACCTCCTTCCCCACTCCCTGCTTCAGCAGGGCCTATGGTCCTTATGAGGACTGACAGTGGCCATATGCTGCTGCCTTTACATGCAAATCAGAAATTGCAGCCCAAGGCTGTCCTCGTGTGCAGAGCCAGATGTCCCACTCCACAGCCCTGGCATCATTCCTGTCTCCTCAGCTTGGAATCGGAAGGGTATGGGCTTAACCTTCCTGAAGAATCTGGGCACTCTCTTGGAAGACAGTTGTGTCTAAGCCCATGCTCTTTCATTCAGCCGCCAGGGGCCAACTGGAGCGTGCACACATTGGGTTTCTATTGCCAAGCTCCTGACAGCAGTCAGGCCATCAGGCCCTTGGAGCACTCTCCTTGGAGCAGTGTTGCCCAGGGAAAGCACAGGAGGCTGGCCTTAGTGACAACTGGGTGCAAGGTTGGTGATTCTCATGCTAACTTGGAGGTTGATGGACAGGAAGCCTCCAAGTCTTTGGAAGCAGCTGATAATCACGATCTTAAGGCACCTGAGCTCTGCCACCCTCTTGCCTCCTCAGCACCTGCTTCCCCAGGGCACTGAACACAAACAGGGCTCCCACTGCCCTCTCGGCCTCCCTGTGTGTGGCGGTGTCTCCCAAGTGTTATCTCCCAAGCTGTCCATAGGGAAGGACCACTTCTAAAGATGTCCAATTCATCACAGACCAGTTCATATAGAAAACAGTAAAAATGAATTATAAGAAAAATATATGGAAAAGTCATAGAGAACAAAAGCCTTATTTTAAATTATTAGAACATATAATATTGCTATTTTAATTTGCTATAATAGTTTCTCCATGCTTATCCTCAATTTCTGTACTTATCTCATTGGTAACAAACAGCTCATCACTGTTTCTGGTCCACAGACCACACTCTGGGTAGCATTGCCCTAGCCCTTGTCATCATTCATAACTGACTGTGGCAACAATACTCATTTCAACCACTTTGGTCTCTGATTTTTCTTGTTGTTGTTGCCTTCTGTCCCCTAGGGCAACAACTTGTGCTTGTGATTAGTATCTGAAGTTTGAGGCAGTCTTGTGGGACTGAGCCCCCAAGCTATGGGATCCGAAGCTATCTCTAGGTAGATACTGTCAAAACTGAATTGAGGTAGAGGACACCAAGGTGGTGTCCATTGAAGAATCTGCCAGAGAATTTCTTTGTGGGGAGAAATCCCCACACACTTCTTGGTGAGCAGAGGTGAAGTACTATGTTGGGTATAGTTGGATGTATGATAGGATAAAGTAAGTGATTTTTCTATATCTTTAGAATAGCCAAAAAAAGTGGGCCAACCCAAATGGGTGAATGGTTAGACAGTGTTGACCTAAAAGGAACAGGCAGAGGCACAAAATATAATTTAAAGAGTTTACTTCAGCCAAAGTTAAGACAGCTGCCTGGAAGACTCACGCACAGGTAACCTTGGATATGAGCTCCATTTGGCTTTTGCTTCAATCAGGTTTTTAAAGGCAAAGGGGGAAAGGGAGTGAGCTGATACAAAGTTGTTTGTCAGGAATTCTCCCTGGTTTGCAGAAATAACATTGACTCGTTGTTAAGTCATAGGGTGTGGGATACAGTGTGCAATGCAGCATTATTAGAGTAATTCATAGCTACATGTGACAATAGCAAACAGCTTCAAAGACTACATAGTACAAAAGCGGGGAAGCAGGACAGGACAGCCGGGAAGTAGGACGGGATTACCGTCTCACTTTAATGCCTCCCTGAGCCTGATCATTTGAAAGGGCTCATATTTCTCAGACAAAAGTTGTTTTCTTTCCTCAAAAGAAATGAACTATTGTTACATGCAACGACTTATATAAATCTCAGCATTATGCTGAGTGAAAAAAAGCCAGTCCTAAAGGCTACATACAGTGTAACTCCATTTTCTCTTATTTATTGTTTTTTTTTGAGATGAAGTTTCACTTTTGTTGCCCAGGCAACAAAAAATTTTGTTGCGCAATGTCACAATCTCAACTCACTGCAACCTCCGCCTCCAGGGTTCAAGGGATTCTCCTGTCTCAGCCTCCCAGTAGGTGGGATTACAACAGGCATGCATCACCACCCCTGGCTAATTTTTGTATTTTTAGTAGAGACAGGGTTTCACCATGTTGACTAGGCTGGTCTCAAATTCCTGACCGCAGGTGATCCCCCGCCTCAGCCTCCCAAAGTGCTGGGATTATAGGCGTGAGCCACTACACCTGGCCTAATTCCATTTATATAACATTCCTGAAATGACAAAAATTACAGAAGTGGAGAACACCTTAATGAGTTAAGAGGGGAGGGCAGAAGGGGATGAATGTTGTTACAAAAAAGCAGCAGGGGCCCAGTTCGGTGGCTCATGCCTGTCATTGCAACGCTTTGGGAGGCAGAGGAGGGAGGATTGCTCAAGCTCAGGAGTTCAAGACCAGCCTTGGCAAGATCCCATCTCTACTTTTTTTTTGAGTGTGTGTTTGTGTGTGTGTGTGTGTGTGTGTGTGTGTGTGTGTGTATGTGTATTTTTAAGAGCAACAGGAAGAATCTCTGGGATGATGAAATTGTTCTGGATCTTGAGTGTATCAGTGCCACTATGACACTGTACTATAGTTTTGCAAGATCTCACAATTGGAGGAAATTGGGTAAAGGATACATTGGATCCTTCTGAATTATGTCTTACAACTGTATGTGAATTTGCAGTTACTTCAAGATTAAAAATGTAATTAAAAAACACATTACCATAATGTTATCATCACATCCAACACAACAAACACTCCCTAATGTCATCTATTATTCAATCATTGTTCAAACGTCTCCAGTTGTTTTAAAAATGTTTTTTTTTTTTACAGTTGATTTGTTTGAATCAGGATTTTGACAAAGCCCCCATGTTGCACTTGGTTAATATATCTCTTTAGTTTCTTTTATTTTTATTTATTTATTTTGAGACAGAGTCTTGCTGTGTCACCAGGTGCCAGGCTGAAGTTCAGTGGCGCGATCTCAGCTCACTGCAGCCTCTCCCTCCTGGGTTCAAGCAATTCTCCTGCCTCAGCCTCCTGAGTAGCTGGGACTACAGGCACACACCACCACGCCCAGCTAATTTTTGTATTTTTTAGTAGAGATGGGGTTTCACTGTGTTAGCCAGGATGGTCTCGATATCCTGACCTTGTGATCCACCCGCCTCGGCCTCCCAAAGTGCTGGGATTATAGGCGTGAGCCACCTCACCCTAGTCTCTTTTAATCTCTAAATTTTCCTTCCCTCTCTTTTGTTTACTAGCAATTTATTTGCTGAAGAAACTTTTTTATTAGTTCCGTAGAACAACTGAGGGTTTCCCTCAGTGTGCATTTTGTTGATTATATCATTGGGTGTCATATAGCATGTCCTTTTGTTCCCGATTTTCCTGGAAATAGATCTAGAAGATTGATCAGTTTCAGGATTAACTGTTTTGTTCTTTCTGCAAGACCATGTCATAAGGGTATTGTGTAATTTCTCTTGTGTCACATCAGTAGGCTCATAACATTTGTCTGTCTTTTTTGTGATATTAGGATTTATTAAGAGATTCAAGTACCTTGCTCTAAGCATCAGCTTTTCACCTGATTATTTCAGTAGTCATTGATAAACATTGCTTAGATCCATGATTTAGTGGTTGCAAAGTAATGTGTATTATCTATTACTGCATAAGTTACCCCCAAAATTTAGCATCTTAAAACAACTGATATGGTTTGGCTGTGTCCCCACCAAAATCCATCTTGAATTGTAGCTCCCACGATTCCCATGTGTCATGGGAGGAGCCCAGTGGGAGGTGATTGAATCATGGATGGGAGTCTTTTCCATGCTGTTCTCATGATAGTGAATAAGTCTCAGGAGATCTGATGGCTTTAAAAACAGTAGTTTGCCTGCACAAGCTCTCTCTTTGCCTGCTGCTGTCCATGTAAGATGTGACTTGTTCCTTCTTGCGATTATGAGGCTTCCCAGCCACGTGAAACTGTAAGTCCAGTAAACCTCTTTCTTTTGTAAATTGCCGAGTCTCAGGTATGTGTTTATCAGCAGTGTGAAAACGGACTAATACAACAACAAACACTCTTTCACAGTTTCTGTAGGTCAGAAATCTGAACACATCTTAGCTGGACATCTCTGGCTCAGAGTCCATCATAAGGCTACAATCAAGGTGTCAGCCAGCGTTCTGCTGGTGGAGGATCCACCTCTAAGCCCATTCACATGGCTGCAGGCAGGCTCCAGATCCTTGATGGCTACTGGCTGGAGATGTCGGTTCCTGGCCATGTCCGTCTCCCCACAGGGTAGCTTCCAACATGGCAACTTGATTCCCGCAGGTTGAGAAAGTGAAGGAGCCCAAGACAGAAAGGAGCCCAGACTTTTTGCAAACTAACCTTGGAAGGGATATCCTATCACTTCTGCCATATTTTATCCATTAGAGCAAATCCAGCCACACTCAAGTGGTGAGAGGACTACACAAGTGCATCAATATCAGAAGTCTAGGATTACTGGAGCTTATTTTAGGGAAGATACTATAGGGAAAATATTTTCTTGTTTCTGCATGGTCATGACTTCTCGGATAAAAATTACTGGTGACCTAAGTTCGAGTGTTTTTAATAGTAAACATTCTTTGGAAGTTGGAGACTTCCTTTGAGCCTTATAGATATTTTTCCCCTTGGAGTCATTTATTTACATCTTATTTCACCAAACTGACCCCAGCTAAAACTAGGCAGATCCTGTAGGATAACAGTGGACCAGATTCAATAAACTAGCAACCCCAATTATTCCTACTGTACCAGATGTTGTGTATTGTCTAAAGCAGTTTAACATTGCCTCATTACATATGTTATTCAGCCATTGATTTGGCAAGC